ACCAGACCCGGGATCGAACCCGGGCCGCCGCGGTGGGAAGCCAGCGACTAACCGCTTGAGCTATGGCGCGGCCAATTTTACAACTTAATGACTGTTCTTGCAGTGAGATCTGAGGTTCTCAGAGCGGATATTGAGATTGCTGTCTTCTGGGGTATGACGCAACACCCCAGAAGACTGTAAACCTTGTAATCGCATTGCTGCACGAATCAGAATACTCGATTACAAACTGAAAGGGAAGAGAGACCCACTGAGGATGCTGAAATGCAGTTCGTACGTGTTACCGTGGGCTGTAAGGGGATGGCTAATACAAAGCGAACCGAGAAGAAATGGCAAGTGACAACAGCGGGATTGTTGCTAGGATACGTGCGCAAGGTTTAGGCTGATGTTTACAGTGTTGCGTAAGGATGAGTGATCACAGATTACTTAGCGTAGACCCAACGTCGTAGATACGGAAGTCTTGATTTAACTGTCTCGCATTTTTACTGAGAAACCTTTTATATGAAGAATTAACGATGAATGCAATAGTTGAGTGTTATACTTCCCCTAATGTTTCGGTTTCTATTATGATATTGTTATAACGTAAAGTTATCCCTGTACTTAATTATACAATCAAGCTCTATGCCATGAAGGCATATAACCTTGACCTTGGCACTATGAAGGTGCTAAGCTTCACGCCCTTGCCGCTTTACCCCTAAGAATAGAGCCTCGGGTATCCCTTAAATAGGAGGATGGGTGGTCTTCAGATACGGCATGGACATTATCAAGAAAGATTAACGTCGTTACCGGGAATCGAACCCGGGTTGTCCATACCGTAGTCTAGTCGGTGATACTGTCAAGGAAAACAGATACTTTTCGAGTGCTTTGCTAGCATATCTGTAAAGAAGGGCGTGTGTCCGTTTCTTTCTTCGTTTGCTCTTTTTCTCATATCTACGCCGTTGCATCTATTTCGACCAAACTTGGCATGATGGTAGAGAACCTCTCTGGGGAGGTTCTTGATAACAGAAAGCATGTATGGGTGCAAGAATCGGCTTTACTTCACCACTATTTCTTCTGCAAGAGTGGGACTTTGCGAAAACAATGGGACTGCTGATGGGGCAGAGGAGAACCCTCTGATTACCTTCTGTTGTTAGTTGGATATGGGGAAAGAGCTGCGCCATAGCTCAAGCGGTTAGTCGCTGGCTTCCCACCGCGTCGGCCCGGGTTCGAGCCCGTGTCTGGTCAAGTGGGATTTGTGGTGGACAAAGTGG